TCCAAGTTGGTTTTGATCTGATTTCTGTGTCGGTATTGGACCAGTTTCTTACTTTCTTAGGCTATTTAAGAAATGGTAACAGAATTGCTCTAGTTCTATTTTGGAGGAACTGGATCTGATTTTGATCAATTATTGGGTACCAGTAAGAAACTACTTTTTACTTCAGTCTCCAGTCAAGTTTCATGTCGATTCCAACTGGATTTAGAACTGAGATTGGGTAGATCCTACCCCTACTCTTAACTTGTCTTTAGCCGGAGTGTACTCCTTCCTAGTCTTAACTTGGCTTTGACCCGAGTCTACCTTTATCTCAACTTTCCCTTGCTTTTAAAATGTTGATGGATGAGTTAAATCATGAGATCATATGAATGCAATTACATTTGAAGGGTTGGGGTGGACCCTTTAAGTATGGTTAAATTTATCCTTTGATTATGTTTGTAATCTTTCTTAAAATTGTAAAATCAGTAGTTCTTTTCTGTTTTTGTTGAACGAGTTTATGTAAGTTAGACTTCGTACATTTTTTGTGAAAAAGAGATCACAACAATGTTGCACCATAAAAGATCCAACGAGATAAGGACTTGGTGCTTCCAGAGAGATGTGAATTGAAGTAGGGCAGCTAGGGCTTAGAAGATGGGATAGAGGAACCACCAAAAGAAACTTTCTATTTGATGCCGCAATTGCAGAATACATTTTGTTTCTTTTAGCTCTACTAGGTTTATTTAGAGTTTATGATTAAAATCAATCATGCAGATAATATAGTAGAAATATTTTAACAAAGGAACAGGGAAATCTGAAAAAGACAATGGAAAAGGAAATATTCATTTTGATGGATTTCTAGGTTTGTGATTATCAATAAGTGTAACAAATATTATACATTTATACTCCCTCCTTGGCTCCTTGCTATAAGGTTGTGCCATGTTTCTTTTTTGATCTGTCCCCAATAAAATTGTCCAATAACAAATTTGGTAACATGATTCTAAATCATTCTTACTTTATTTTTGCTTTATCAATTCAATATTAACCACTTAATTTCATTTTTTTTCAATAACTGTGTCAATTTCTCTTGTCCCAATGTTAGTGAGACGTAAGTGGTCAAGACTCAAATAAAAGTATAAATAAAAATTCAAATGGCGAAATTGATTTTGCATCCCATAAATCGGATATGATTTTACTTCATACCTCATTTTTTAAAAAACAACGTGAGCATCATGTTTTATTATATAAAAAAATTACATCCTGTTTTTGAAAAAAGAGTCTTTGAGATGTGTGTCACGTATGGAAGATTAGCACTTCATAAAACATGCTGACATACGTATGAAGCAATAAAGGGGGTGTTTGGATCTGATTCTCAAAACCGATTCTGCTCCTTCAGGGAGCAGAAGCAGAAGCTGGAGTGTTTGGGTGAAATTCCAGAAGCACTTCTGGAGCTCTAATTTACTCTCAGAATCAGTTTTTTTAGAAGCTGGGGGGCAGGGGCGGAACCAGGGGGGAGCGAGCCGGTGCTGGCGCCACCCCTTCGCCGGAAAGTCTTAGGTATATATAGGTATGAGTTCTGAGCGCCCCGGGTCTTCTTCTACCTTCGCCGTTCCGCACCAGCTTGGAAGCTCTGCGTATCAGATCAACGACATGTCTTTCTTCCGATCTTTCAGCTGGGCTTTTTAAACTTAATTAAAAGTCCAAAACGACGTCGCTGGGTTAAATGATTCGAAATCAAAACGACGTCGCTCATTAGTTAAACCTAAGAGGGTAAATGGGCGGTCGGGTGTGTGATTAAGATTGAATTTCAGAAATTTAATTCGAGGGAAACCCTGAGACGAGCAAACCGTAGAGGATTAGCCTTGGATGTCGGCGACTCCGGCGAGCAGGCGATGGATCGAATTCATCGAACAAGGTTACGGAGGTGATGTCGAACCGGAGTGTTGAGTCAGGCAACGATTTATACGGAGGTGATTTTTTTGGCTTTTTTCTTTATTTGTTGACTCAGCAGATTTTATTGAATATTTGAATTGGGGTTTTATGGTTTACAGTACAGCTTTCACGGATTAGCCAAATAGTGCGTTAGGAGTAAAATGAATATTTTATTCAATTGTTAATTTGATTTATTTAGCAATTCAACAATTAGGCATCTACTCAATTACTTATAATATCATCTCAGCTCTTGATTTAGTTAGTTAATATTCTGATTTTAAATTTATTTTAATGATCCATAACTACTTGTTTATTGGTTTAATTGTTTTACTAGTTTAAAAAACCTAAATAAAATAAAAATGACTATTATTCACAAAAATATTTTTCCCACGTCAATGAAATGACTAAATAAAAGAGATTTTAATGATTTTACATTTTTTGTAATTTGAAACTTCTGAATTTCTAATATTTTAATTTTGTAGGTTATCTATGTTTATATTACAATTTGTAACACGGCAGCGAGTCACCTAAATAAGGCAAGAAGAAAACAATAGGAAAAAATGTTCTCGTGTGAAATTCGATCCAGATATTGTGGGCGATCCAGGTTGATGTATTTCTTAGCCCCGGCCCAAATATTGTTCTGGTTCCGCCACTGCTGGGGGGTACCAGCTTCTGAAAACTGATTCTGATTCTGCTTCTGCTTTTAAAAAAGAAGCAGAAGCAAAATCAGTTCCAAACACCCCCAAAGTCGTGTGTACACATTCATCTATTCAATTCGTCTATATAACTATACTTCATATTACATTCATCTATTCGATGCATAAATGCACACATTATAAACAATCAACGATAATATATTTTATATTACATTCATCAATTCAATCCATAAATACACGTTTTAAAAACGAACGATACTGTATTACAACAACGATTAGGTACATAACATAAATACGAGCTGCATGCCTGAGATCGCATATCACTTGGTAGCCTAGTAAGGTTTACGTTTTCTGTTAGAACCAAATGATCCTAATTTCACAGCTAATCCTAGACTCCCACGAGTGCATCCCAAACCCTTGATAGATGTAAATTCAAATCGCCCGAACAATCTGCCAGATTCCAACTGCCATCTATACACAATAAATCGCTCTAAACGAATTGATCGTGTTAGTCCTCCCGTTCCTAGGTTAACACAGTTTCAAAGAGAATCACCACGTCACCTATTAGTCAACACCACCAGATTCAAGCAAGAAACTAACTCCTACTATAGTTTTCTCCTTGAATTCAGATTCAATCGCAAGTATAATGTTCTTGGTACACTTGCAGGAGGCATACTTATCAAAGTTGATTAATTAGGTAATGCAATGTCACACTCAAGACAAAGTGCTATGATCGATAAACAACCACTAAAAACGAGAAATTGGAAAGAGATAGCACATTAAAACCATGATCTACACAAAAGTAAGAATAATCCACTAAAACGGAGTAATAAAAAATGGCTAATGCTATTGCCTTTGCTTTTCATTATCACTCACTATACGCAAGAAATTCTTCCATAACCGAAGGTAGCACCAACCTGTCGGATTTGAACCGACAACCAAAGGATTCTGCAATTCTTGGAATTGTATCCAAGTCTTGCTTGAATCCTCTGCTCTTCCATTTGAGCTAAGGTTGGTTCGATGTTAGAAATTAGAACAGTGAGATATTTGTTAATCACAGGTGCAAATAGCTAAGGAGCCCGATATTACTTCCAGTTACATACTTTTGGAAAAGTTAACTATCTATTAGCCTCACGCTATAAACGTGTTTACAAATAAGCTGGGTTTGATACACCAAACCCCATTTGTTAAATAAATTTGATGCATTAGCACTCTATGATTTAAAAAATGTGTCAAACCCACATATGATATAATTATTTATGCACAAAATTCTCTCTATAGACAATTTACGTGTCAAATAAATGATAAAAATGATTAATATTTTTTGCATGAATAAGAGATCTCAACAAATTTACGTACATATATAATCATAATATTAAACAATTGATTTCCAAATTGTTAAATTTATTCTTTGAGGGATTTTGCGCATGAAAAGACACAAGGAGGTTTAACACATCTTTTTAATCAAAAATTCACAATGGCCTAATCCGCTGAATTCATACATCAAAAGGGAGTTTGATGCATTAAATCCGATAGAACTATACATATGAAAATAAAAGTTAACAATACATTTTGGCAACCAACAAAATAAGAATGTTTTCTTTTGGATTGAAACTTGATGGTCTGATCTATTAAACATCTTGTCTCTGTATATATTTTATAATTACGGAAGTCTGGTCTGGTTTGGTATGGTCTGATCTGGGACTGAAAATAGTTCAAAAGAAAACTTCCTAAAACTAAATTAGTGATTTGAATATATATAGTGCGTAAAGAATTCGTCACAATTGTTAAAGCATATCATATAAATGAAGCAAGACAAGATATAGGAATAGAAAATGCTAAATATATTCTTTCCGTTCAATACACTTATATGGGCAAATGATGGTCCCATATAGGTGAAGAAACTTTTATATCTTTTTCGACCCTTTAAAATATCCCTGATAAGAATATCCCTCTATTTTAATATATGCGCATAATCAAAATCTAAGGTACTCAACAACAACTAAGCCATTTTGCAAGAAACGCTGCCAAGCATAATCACACTTTACTAAAAGCATCACTTTCGCACGATTATAATTTTATAATTATAATTATTAATACTAAGACATCGATCATTACTTATAACGAACAAGGGTAAAATGTATATTATAAAAAATGGGGAAAAGGGGCAAATAAACCCATGTACTAACCAAAAAAGGTCAAATAAGCCCTTATATAGAAAACGTTGTCCGGTCGTCGCCATTTAGGGCGGTTCCCGGTGGCATTTTTTCATGAAATTTTTTGAGCATCTTAGTCATTAAGTCTAGTTTATTCATACCAAATTTCAGCTAAAACTTCAATCGGGAAGACATTCAAATAAATTCTTGAAGATAACAACGCAGTTAAAAGCGCAGTTATCTTCAAGAATTCATTTGAATGTCTTCCCGATTGAATTGTTAGCTGAAATTTGGTGTGACTAAACTAGACTTAATGAATACGGCGCTAAAAAAAATTCATCAAAAAATTATACTGGGAACCTCCCCAAATGGCGACGGTGGACGGAGCCTTCAATATAAGGGCTTATTTGACTCTTTTGGTTAGTACGTGGGCTTATTTGCCTCTTTTCCCTAAAAAATGATTGTGCACGATTGTAACAAAAAGAACACCACGCCTCATTTTAAAGGGCAACACTTGTCCGCACTTCACTCTTAAAGATTATCATTTCTATTAATAACTCTTAAAAATATTGATAACTTGATTAACACTCATAAATGATAATTTGATGGTCAAATATTAAAAATAATACATCTATAACATTACCGTTATCATCAATGACCTCATTATATTATATACTCATAAAAAATATTTTTCAAAATATACTCGTATCACTTTATGTAATTGTTGTCTAAGTAACGTGTCATTTTATCATAAAATTTTTAGGCTGGGACTGAGGTAGTACCATTTTGACGCAAAAAGTGCCATTGTCCATTCATGCAAAGAACATCACCCTTATTTCATGAATCCTAAAACAATAATTGCTACTTCATGAATGGGACGTGCATTTCATATTTCCGTTCCCAAACATCATTCGTACTTTGTCTCAAAGGATTAATATACCAATTGTTTTCACCCTTTATAGCATGTACATGAGAAGTTAGTGAATTGTTCGTCCATCAATCACATATGTTTATGACATAATTGAGAAAACAAATTACTCATTCAAACAAAATCCAACTCAATGGTTCAATCCTGATATATCTCATGATTTAAAAGTCTACTCACCCATTTTTTGAGGAAATACGTTTTGGAATAAATGTGTTAATAAAAGACGACAGGTAGCTAAAAACCTTCAATTGGTTATTTGCCCAGTTTACACTGTTTACTTAGCATACAACGTTAACAACTTCTTAGACAAAGACCCAACCTTAAATTGGTTATCTGCCCAATTTAGATAATTTACTCAGCACAAAAGTAAACAACTTTAAACTTCTAATACCAAGACCCTTACTAAGTAGACATTTTAGTTCAGACAAGATATAATGGAAAAAAGTAATCAACCCCTAATGGTGACTATTAAGACATTAGAAAAAGGACATACCAGAAAAGCTTCAAAAACATCCACCTAGCAGTTCGCACACTACTTCAATGCTTCCTGCGACAGTAATAGTTGGAATTGGTATGATACCATTATCTCTTCTGCCTCATGCAAATAACCTAAATATAGCATCTGAATTTAAACCAATTTGTTAAATACATTTCCGCAATTCTCACCTAAATACCGTTTTTTGTCCAGATGATGTGTTTCAAGAGACTCATTTTTACAAAAAGGGGCGTCCTTCACTCAGACTAGGTATCAAATCCATTCTGATCATCATTTTCCGTGAATTGAAATCTATTCAACTGTTAGACCAACTGCTATTGATACCTTGAATAGGTGGCTTTGCTTGGACTTCGAACATATCAACTTAAAACGGAAAATTTAGATGCCTAGTCAGTTTGAACACTTTTGTCGAGATATATATAAAATGTTACTATGGCTAATAATCATACAATGATTCACAACTTCCTCCGCCCTTACTTGAAGTTTATGCAATGACTTTTATGTCATAATTTATGTACATTGACTGTCAAGTGAACAAACTGTTTTAGTGCATACAACGATTCATTATAGGCTTTATAAATACAATCGTAGATAAAAATGGGCAACGATGCCCATTCAATACCACAAAATAAGAAACAGAAACTTTAGATAAGGACGGAGGTAGCGATCTATCTATAAGCAAACAAATTGACAGCATTCACTGGGGTTCTGGAGTTGAATCAGATAAGAACACATCATTATCTATACAGCATACGTACTGCAAATAAGAATTTGGTCAATGAGATAATTGTATGCTATAATTATAATAACAAAAGAATGGAGGTTTAATAACAAAAGGCATAAAATAAAAATAAATATGGACACCCGAGTTTCAGTTCTTAAGAGGGGCTACTCATCTGCCACTGAGATATCTACAAGTATTTGAATAGGAACAGGTATTCATCATCATCCTTTACATTTGGAAATGGTTAGATCACATCATATTAATTGGCACAATTACAGAACCACAGGTAACCTGAAAATCACATTAATTGCATCAGAATTCATAAACATCAAAGATTGAGGCGTACATGAAAAATTAGATTAACCACTAGAAACATGCCGCTGAAACATTACCAAGAGGGACCTTTAAGAATCTTAAATAGAGGTCAACTCCATACTTGCTTGTTCGGTTACAGCCTATATGTTCTACTCCCTACTTCCCGAAATAAACTCCTTACTCCCTACTCTCTCTCTCTCTCTCTCTCTCTCAACAACTCTCAACCACATAGTTTTCCCTTTTAAACGTATGTGGCTAGTCAAAGAAGGAGATAATAATGGCAGAGAGGGAGTATTTAATATCATAGCTATATAACACACTAACAGTTTGTCTATTATAAGCGTTAGTATGTGTTTTACATTGAAGATAAAGCAGTCTACAAATGTTTCTTTGTTTCAATGGATTGGCAGTTATAGCACCTAATCTTCTGTGTAGTGTGTACATTAAGCTTTTGTTCAATTTAGACCCTTTTCACGAACTTTCATTCTCTTTGTCTCAAATGCAACACAATCTGACTTTTGTAGATCTAGTCAGTTTTGAATTTTCCTAGTCATTTCAAATGTTTCTAATCAATTCTGGTCTGAGTATTTCCGACCTTATCTATTTTTCATTTGAAGACGAAGGGTATTGTACTAACCAACTACACCAGAATAGTAAAACAAAGAATTGTTTGGTATAAAAACTAGGTGATAATTAGAAAAAGGGATCCACAAAAAACACTATTTTCTACGCAGGTGCTTTTTTTATGATTATACCAGTTTATGAATATCATCACATTATTTCTCAGTGGGATGGTTGCAACAGGAGGAACTTCCGATTTAGAACTTTCTAACTGAACTTTTTGCATGAGTTTATAAAGTGAACTAGTTTCAGATGTTTAATTCACGCTAATAATAAAACCACTGACCCCAACATATTTGGTGCTAAGGTGATGGTGATGAAGATGATGCGGAAAATGCATCCACCAAAAAACTCAGTTCATTGAGCCGCGGCACCTGAAATATTAATTAGAAAATTCAGGACCATTGAGTTAAATAACAAGGCACATACATGATACAAATTGTATATAGTATATACTTTGTGAGCAATCAGATTACATAGTCACATACAAATGATTTAAATAGATGCTTAAAACCAAGCTACAGGCACTTCAGGGAGAAATATCACATGCTTAAGGTATTATACCCCGCAGATCCAGCAAGTACACAACAAAAATGAAATGAAGTGAAGAAAATACATATAGGCCAGCGTCGTTGTACACAAATAACTACATGCATATCATTTACACTGTACAATGTTTAATGAACCACTTGCTTTGTGCTAAATAAATTGAAAATTAAGATCCCAAGCTCCAGCTCACAACAAGAGAAATAAACTTAGATACGATGTAGAGAACAGATAGTTGACTCCATTACCTCTTAGAACCACAGTTGCAAGGGATCTTTTTCTCTTCCAATGGGAATTTGTAATTGTAAGTAATTTCATCACCAGCAGCAATATGCCGCTTGGCATATATAAAGATCTTTTTCTGACCCTCAACACTTATGACCTTTGTGTAGCAGTTAGGCTGCATAATACCCAGTGCAAATGAGTAACATCTTTTTTAGAGGAAAACATGCACACTCCCTTGTCTCATGTCACAAAATTATCTAAATTTGTAGTCTACATTAATCACCTCACAAGAATGATTGATGAATCTAGCAACACCCCCACGCTTTGTTGCATCCACCTGCAGAAATATTTTATCTGTTTTGTTATGTAATGCTCATAATCTTTCTCACTGTCTAAACATGAACCAGCTCAAGTAGTTCATAAGTTGAAAGAATCTGCCAAACTTCAAAGCAAGCATTGCAGTTGTTTCACTTTTGGTAACTAATTTTTCTGAAGTCATAGCTATTGGAATCAAATTCATTGAACATAAAAGACACCAGCGGAATGTACATAATAAGAGAGAACTTCCAAGAGCACAAAAAGTAAAAAGCATTGATAACAAGTACTATAATAGTGTCAATATTGGCAATTAATTTCTCCTAAACCCAAAACAGAATTAGCTAGCATTCAAAAAACAGAGGAAGGTATAAGATATGAGAAAATTCCCAGAGACTCTATGCGGTTTTCATTCTACTCTGAAGCACCAAGCAAGGGATTATGAGTTATGATATCAAATACAAGAGAACGCCTCAAGACTTTAAAGAAGCAGAGGCTCTCGCAAGTCTCAGAAACATCACGTGCATTCTTTTACTAGCTTAACTAGTTAGAAATCTTTAAGAAACCATATTAAAATCTTTTCCACACTTACAACATAACCATCATCCAGTCTGAAGAGGTAACTGCTACCAATCCCTGTCTTTTCATAATAGCATTCCCTTATATCAGATACCTAATAGACAAAAGGTAGGAGTTAGTCTCCATAATAAAGACTTGATACATAAAAAGCACTAACATGTCACTATCATATGCTACCTCTGTTCTTACTTAGTTGCAACAATTAGAATTTAACATCTACAAACGCACGACTTTGACCATTAATATATTTAATTGGCTATTATATGTTTTGAAATTTTACTTTGGCAATAAATTTAAAATAATTTTATAATATTTAAAAAGAAATAAAGAACGGAATAGTTCAAAAGTCAAAGTTTGCAACTATTAAAGAAAGGAAGAAGTATAAATATCTGGTTGCGTACACTGGGGCGAATAAGTTCTCCAACATATTCGATCACCAACTCCTCGGCCTCAATTGGCTCTAAAGCTACAAGACCCCAGTCGTGTATTTTACTACGCTGAAAACGCAGACGTTTTTTCCTTGCCTGAAACATGAATGAATATGGAAGAGTTAAACAATTGAACTTAGGAAGCGAAGCACAAAAATGTCCAGCACTCTCTGTACCTTCAATTGAGTTGCTTTCAAAATATCAGCACCCTCTGCAGCAGCAAGAAGGTTACGCATTTTAACCCGGTTTGTTCTGGCAGATATTCCTTTAACATTTGAGGATTGAGAACTACTTCCATCATGATTGACAGAATGAACATGGACACAGCCACTCCCTCTTACACGAATCCTTTCAGCAGGAGTTGCAGTCAGTGACCATTTATGCCATTCCCAACCATTAATGGAGGTGCGAGCACACCCATCTGATCGAGGGCACCGTTTTGTTTTCCTGGATTTACCACTGCCTTTATTTTGTACAAAAACCTCATTTGTTGCTTGATCAGAAGAAGCAACAGGAACAATCTGAACTTTTTCCAAGGGCACATCATCTTTTGGTCGATTTCTTTGCAGCTTCACTAACTTGGTTGCTGCATACAAAAATCAAACTGCTCATATATTGTTTGCACAAAGTAAATGATGGCTGAGAATTGACCCACAAGTAAGTACAACAATAGCATAGAACTAAAAGATACTAATAATAGAAACAGAACTGACATTTCTGTGTCCCTTTTGAAATAATTTGCACTTCTTGTTTTTGGGAAACCCTGTTCAACTTATGAGTATTATCAGCACTAAAAGCATTTTCAGAGAGTATAGGGGCCTTCCGTTTGGTGCCGCTTGCATGATTTTCACACCCTGTAATACATATCAAATATTCACAATTGCTGTTGTGACAATCACCAAAAGCCATTAAGCCACAACATACAATCCGGGGATACTCTACCTTTGGTGATAGTAATAACCTCGTCTGAATTCTCGTTAGTCTTGGCATGAGATGATGAGTAGTTTTGAAGCGATTTGCTGTCAGATCTAGCCAGTCGAGTTTCTTTCGACTTCACAACTGGTTTTCCATGCTTAGCAATCTCCAATGCCTCACTGGAAGGATGTTGGCTCTTTGATTTATGTTTTTTAGACGCAACACCCTTGCTGGTCAAACACTGAGATAAGGTGTCTGATTTTCTCTTATCAAACCTGTTCTTGTGGCAATGCGTATATCTGCTGGTGGTCAAAGATGTGTCAGGAGATATCTCCACCTGATTTCTAACTGAGGCAAGTTTATCAGGTTTCTTTTTGCCTTTCTTAATCTTTGAGATCTGAAAAGGAATTGCAAATAACCAAGTGAGTATAAAACTCTTCTGGGAGTAGATCTGTAGTTTAGAAGCACTAAGATAGTTTTACAGTAACCTGAGAGCCTTCAGATTTCTTTCCAGAAAACAGAGCCTTAAGAAGTCTTTTAATTGTACCATCAATAAATAGCCTCACTTCTCTCAGCACATTCTCATGTATCTTTTGCCGACAAATTGCCAGGGCACTATGCCACACGACCTTTGGAACACAATCGTGATGCCTAAAGGATACAAGTGTTGAGGTTTGTACAGGAAGTGACATTCTAGAGTCGGGTGGTTGCAGCTCATCGACACCTTCATCTTCTAAGTGGATAGGCAACTTCTGAAATGAACTCAACAATACACCTGAGATGGAAAACTCATTACTAGTAATTGTGTTATCATTCAATGGTCCTGTTAATGGATTGCAAATCTCAAGATCACCATCATTATAGAATCTATAATTCTCCGCGACCTACATAAAAAGAAAAAAAAAACAAGAAAAAAGAAATGTTACTCTCACACAACTGTTGAAGTGTAATGCATATTTAAAAAGAAGAAAAAAAGAGATTTTCAATATGTTAAGAACAATGGTATAATTTTGTTTTTGTTTTTCATTGGGGGTAAGAAGGCATGGAAGTTTGACATTTCAGAATTGGCTAAATTTGAGTATTTAGCACCTTATTCATCTGGACATCCTTTGAGCAGTCATCAGCAATTTTACCCACTTCCTCATCCAAGAGGTCCATGAAATGATTTTCCAATGTGATTTTGACAGAGAGATGCAGATCATTCAATACGCTCTCATGGATAGATCCTATTTCATCAGAAAATTTGTTCTCTAATAAGATGCTGCCTTTACATGATACTTTTTCATCAGCAGTAGGCAAATACTGTGGTCGTGAAATTGAACGTACATCCCGTATCTCCATAGCCTGTTCATAACCAGGGGGGTAATCGATTTCACAACCAGAGTTTCCTTGCTGTAGTTGATAACGACAGATTGAGAATTAGCTACAGAGACGAGTGAAGATAAAATCAAGTCATGGCATGTATCTCTATCACCTGCTCAAAACCTGGTGGGCAATCAATGTCATGACCAGAGGATTCAACTCGTGGTAACTGTAAACAATAGATGAATAGATCAAGCATAAGGTAAGAAACAAGGGCTCATAAAATATTACTACGTACAACATATTGAGGCACTTACAGCTTCAGTATGTGGATCTGGGTATCGGACAAGTGAAGAATCCAAAAATGTACTTGATTTCACCATATCCCGGGGATCAGACCAGCGCTTTCTCTTTCTCCATGCAGATGCATAATCTGCTGTGAGGTCATAACAGACAGCATTCCACATTACTTGCATGCATGACTCATAAAGTATTCTGCAGACCAATAAATGTGCAGCACAAAAATTCTGATAACTTCCAACAGACTTTGTGCATTGTGAAGACACTACAGCGACCTCATCCAGACAAGTTCTCTGCCAATCAGTTACAGAAGCTTCTGGTCTGCTCTCAGGGACAATACTTTTACCACCCTTATGCTGATCAATAATGTTTGAACAAAGATATAAGCAAGTTAAATGAGCAAATACAATGACATCCAACACTTCTTTACATGTAACACTCATTCTATCTAACTATGAATTTCATTACCGTTATGTTATCCTCTGAAGATGAGTTGACATTTTTATTGAGACTTTCTTGCCTAAGATGCTTATCAGCTTCATTCGTTGCAACACACACTGAAATTATTTGACTAATGATCTTCTCTAGCACAGTTCTACGAGCTGCTTTCATGATTCCTGAGTGTAGCTGTAAACATAGTTCTTCAGACACCTCAGTCACAAAACCTTGAAAAGACATGTCATCCTTATGCATAATGACACTTGACAATGAGGCATCTCTAGGTACTGCTTCCACCCAGGTACTTAATAAAGATTGTAATGTAGAAGGTTTAAATTTATTATCAGAATGATACACCTGCAAAATGCATGATTGAAGATCATGTCAAAGCGGCAGCATTCCATATTATACAATCAAATGAAGAAATAGTGCTTGTGATGTAACATAAAACAGCTAGCTTCCAGGAGCAAAATCTATATCAGAAACAAAATGATATGATTGGCAATAAATTCCTTCCATCCCATATTGACCTTTTTTGCTTTTCGCACTATTTTTAAAGCAATGAAATTGTGTGGTTGAGGTTTATTTACAAAGGAAGAATCTGTAAAAAACACAATTCTTGAAAACAGAGAACTTTTGGGACAGCACAAAAAGAACAGATCATATTTCTTGCTCAGATGAACTACAAATTACCGAGTGAAGGCACAAGTAGTACATAGGACAGACTCATTGAAGAAATAAGCACACATTATAGATGGATAAAAATCATTTTTGAAAAAATAAATCCTTTAAGTTTAAAATACACGTATATATTTTCATTTAACTATGATAGTAAAAATAACCGCCACAATATAACAATCATGGATCTCTCACCCACCCTCATGACCGGAACCAATTCTAAATTTCCAACACACTCTCTACTTTTGTCACACCTGCTGCTACCATTAACTATATTCCTATAGCTATTATTGATTGACCAAATTTTAATAACTATTGCCAATCATTACTTCATTAGTGAGTCTGAATGTTAATAACTGCACCTATCACTAGTAATCACTGGCATCATCCGTGCAATGAGATTAGGATGTTAAAATGTTGATTTTTCTGTGTTTTGGTATGCATGCAAATATCATGTATGAATTTTGGTATACTAAATTTGACATTGCCAACTTCTTGTATATGTACCGATTACCGTAACTTTGTGAGTTTATCAAATTTCGGTAATGCATGTTCAAGGTTTTCGAAATGGTATTGCTATGACTTTCATATAAACCAAACTTCCATTATGTTGATTGAAAGAATTTAAAAGTCCGTATATTGAATCAACCATATCATAGGCCACAGTCATCGGTAGCAACTAGCAACCATTGTCAGTACCGGCATAAACATCAACCATTGTCACCTCCTATTGTCGTTACTACCATCTCCAACCATCGCAGCACTACCGAACATTATCGCCATCCAAGGGTGTATGTAGGGGACGTGCTAGGCCCCAGCCCACCCCAATTTCAATTTCTTTAGATGATTAGGGTAAAAAGTTCGAGTAAAATTTTCCCCAAACAAAAAACTTCTACTGGCTCAGCCCAATATACAGCGCTTGCTACGCCTCTATCCCCACCATTGAACACTGTCACTTATGCACATTGTCATGACATAATATATACTACCTCATTTCTTTATTAATTGCACCATTTTGATTATATACAAACTTATTCTGTTCACATACTCTGCTTTGATTATATTTTATTGGTTAATGTATTAACAAAATAATATCAAAAAATTGCCTCAATGTAAATTTCCTATTGTAATAATTTTATAATATTTGTTAATAGTCATGTAAATATATTAATTTTGTGTGTTAGAAAGTGTTAAAGTTATAGTGGTGCAACTAAAAAGATTGGACGAAGTATATGATAATGATATATTGGATATATGATTTGAAAATTTGATAAAGTGAGGAATTTTAAAATATGTAATTTGTACAATATGATTGCACAATAAATGGTTTTGTGGCGTGTCAATTTTTATCCTTTTTTTAAACACACAAACCGCTAAAAAATGTAGCACTTTGTAACTTCTTGCTTTTAATGTAGAGAACAATGAGGGCTATGAGCTGTACCAAAACGCTCCTCCAAACTCTTACAGCATAAAACTTAACTTGATGTAACACTTTGAGAGAGAAACGCAAGTAGCTACCTGTTAATAAAAATAAATACATGTTTCCCCAGAAACAACATTTACATTTTTTGTATTACAAATTACTAGTCAATAGATGAATTCTCTCTTCCTGTGTAATCTCTTTCCTTTCTGGTTGTGTAACTGCGGGACTTCTACACTGAGGCTATAAAGATGGACAGTTTCTCAACAAACATAACTTCTATATACCAAAAAAATGTCCCTTTTAGGTATGTAGTTTTCATAATGAACAAATCTAAGATCAATCAGGACATGAAAATGTAGTTTTTTGCTACTCTCCTTCACTTGAAGATTGAATCCACTGCCTCTTCAAACAGGAAAAATCCCTTTAAGATGCAGCAAATAACTCTAACATATCTTTTCCCAGATAAAAATAGTCCCATTTAGCCAAATAAACGAGGGAAATCATATAAAATTTGGAGACTGAAGTGACCTGGGCAACATTTGGGGGAATTCTAATAACCGCAACCGGTGATAAAATGAAACAACTTTCTACAAATGTGTTAAATATGAACGTGAGAACATTTTTCATTTCATTAAAAAGGGGGGAAATTGATAAAAGAAATACATTAAGAAAACAGAAAAGGGATGAAGAATATGTAGTAATCCCACAGAAGAAATATGGCTTAGTGAAATCAATAATAATAATTCCTCGGTCAGACAACTAACCATTATTGAATCCCTAATGTATCCATAGCGAAACCATGTGTACAGATCTACAAGAGAGTGTGGTCCATGTTTCGTCCCCTCATCATCATCAAAGAGCCAACAAGATTCTCCACCTCCCTGTTCCAAAGACTTAAGAAAAAGAAACTGTATGAGTAAGATATCTTATGTTGTATAAGTACGTACTTGTAACAAGAAGAGTACTCAATTCCATAGTATGCAAAACAAAGAAATAGAATTTAATTAGTTCCAACAGACACATTTAGAAATGGCAATGTATACAGTATACTGCAAGCAAGCATTCATATGAAAAGAACAATCATTTCAAGGTTAAGAGGGAGAATACCAGATGCAAATGTGGTGTCGTGACAGAACCAGATGTGAGAATATGCTGGTTTGGAATGGGTATTTCAGAATAATCTGCCTTCGATTGAAAGCCACGACCACTCAAACCAGAGGCTACTGGGTTTAAATATGCAAAGCCTGTGGCAACATGATCTGGGAACTGATTGAAGTACTTCAGGGGGACTGGATTAGCAAGTGTCCCGTTAAATATGGGATATACAGGAAGCTCGTCTGGCAAGAAACCAGTGGACAACCCTTCATACAACTGTTCCTGTATGTATGGTCCACACATCTGACCTTCTTGATTAACATACATCCATCCATTGACCTGTGCAGGCAAAGCATATGCAGGGCAGCTTTTGTCATCGTGTGAAGTAGCACCAACTTCACAGGGCTGTGAAGGAATACCAATATCCCCAGTACTCTGGCAGGTCATAACCATCTCAGATGGTGAACCATTCATTGGAATTGGAACAATCAGATGAAAAATGGGCACTCCTCCAAAAACTGGAGGCTGCAAAGCACGGTCACGCCAAATACGGGTACGACACTCCACGTGGAATCACGACAAGGGCCCTGGAACGGCTTCGCTTAGGGTGGAATTTTTCCGGCAGTGACGATATGAATCCGGCGGCGATTGATCGTCAGGTTGCGACGAATTGATGGGCTTTTGGTGGCTATTTTATGTGGAAAGGGTGACAGATAAAGGGTTTCGATGGATGTGGGGGGGAAACCAGCAAGTATGCCTTGGCCAGGGCAGATCTTCCTCGGAGTAGGGTTTTCCTTTTTCTTTTTCTGAGCTCATGCTTGTAGTATGCAAAAACGAATCACGAATTCACGATACTTGGGGAATTGAGAGTTTTTTTCCGAATTGTATCTTTGAATGGTAAACCTATTTTAGATAATGTGTATCAAAAATCTTTGAATTCACAATATGTATTTTCCGGACCAATTAAACTGCAAAACTCATTTGACCCTTCCCGATTGAATTTCTTGCTCGAATTTGGTATGGATGAACTAGACTTGATGAGGAACATTCAGAAAAAATTTGAGCAAAAAATACCACCGGGAAGGCCCCCAAATGGAGGAGGCCGGACGGGGCTCCGGTCAGGAATTTCCTGACCGGAATATTTGTGTGTATGAATATATGATTTACATTTCAAAGTGGCCTAAGTTACATTCTAATTTATGCGATTTAGGGCTCGTTTGGTTATTCACACGTTAAATCTTTGCACGCGAAGTGATTGCATGCAAAATATAGAGAAACTATAATTTTGCATATAAGATAGATTACATTGTTTGGCTAGATGTGTAATTTATTTTTAAATTGCACGCAAAGTCGTTGCAAAGCTTCATAAAAGGCATGCAATGTATTTATCACCCCCACGTAAAATACTTTACATGGTAGTATGATACAGTGCGAAATATTTTTAAAAAGTGACCTACAGTTAATATTAAATAATCAAACCAAACAGTGTAAGCATTTTACGTCCTTACACTTCGCCTGCAAAGTAATTAGTTTACGTTCTACCAAACACCGCATACATTTGCTACTTTTGTCAAGTTACATTACAGATACTCTTGAGTTACATTGCTACTTGCGTATAGTTACATCTTCTAGCGCATAATTTACATTTCAGTGTATGTTTCATTTTATACCACTTGAGAGAATAAAACAAGTTACATTCCAATGCGTGAGTTACATTTGAATACATTGGATTCACATTTCACAATAACGCGAATTACATTTCATACAAATGATTTAATCCAAATGACAAATGTAAGGGTACTATTCACGCGATTTTTTTTCAAAATTAAAGCTTAAATCTAAATGACACCATTTTATGTGGGAGTATGATGCTCATCCGCTATAACTCATCCAACCCCGGTACAATTCTGATCCCTCCAAAAAGAAATTGGAATGTTCTAGTTATTTTAATTTTTTTTAAAAGAGCACAATCGGACCGGAATCGAAATCTAAACAGTCACAAGAGACCGTGCTATTGGACTAGGAACCAACCGCTCCAGAATCAAAATTGGACCGGAACCAGCACGAGTCAACCTCCAATAACCAATAATTAAAAACTGTGAATTACGGAAAATTGTCAATTAGATCCCCGTACTATTGCTAAAAAGTCAATTGGGTCCTCGCACTTATCGCTGAGTCAATTAAGTCCATGAAGTGTTAAAAAACACTCAATTCTTCCATTTAGCCGGTTGGAGATATCTGCACGCCCATGTGGCAATAATTTTGACCTCCTCCTCCTCCTCCGCCGCCTCCCCTCCCCCTCCTCCCCTCCTTCGTGTGCATTTCTTTTGCCTCCCCCAATTTCTTTCTTTTCCACTTTCTTTTCTTTCTTTCTTCCATTCTTCCCGAATTCCGATTGTTTTTCTTTGAGTGTGCGGCAGGCGGCATGTGGCATGTGGCAGGCGGCATGTGGCATGTGGCAGGCGGCATGTGGCATGCGGCATGCGGTGGCGGATGGAGACGTTTTGTCCAACATGAGACGATTGAGGAAGACATGGGAGAATGGAGATGGGCGATGTACGACGATGACTAGGTAAGATTTGGCTGTGGACGATGAGCGGCAGATTGAAGAAATTGCTGGTGAAGAGCGACGCATGACAGTGGTTCGAGAAATTCAAATCTACCGGCTAACCGACGGTTTGAAAAGTTGCGTTTTTGTGGACGACAGCCGACCCCAGTGGCAGATGAGGAAGACTTGAGCGGCAGTGGTTGATGATCTTTTGTGGGAGGAAATAGAATTAGAAAGAAAGAGAGAATGAAATAAACAAGGAAAAAATGCAAAAATATTTGCGGGTAAAGAACAGGGAAGAAGAAGCCCGGGGAAGAAGAAAGAAAGAGAGAAGAGGAAGAAAGAAAAGGAAATCAAAAAAGGAAAAAAAAAATATGTGTACCACCATGTGTACACGTTTAACCGTTAACCGGCTCCCAACCGGTTAAATGGAATGATTGGTGTTTTTTAAGACTTTGAGGACTTAATTGACTCACCAATAACTATTATTCCCTCCGTCCCAAAAAGGTTGGCCAAAGTTGACTTTCACGTGGAATAATAAAGTAAAAACTATGTGGTTAAAATTTGGGCAGAGGAGAGAGAATTAACTTTAGCCACATGCTCCTTACTTTAAATGGAAATGACAAATCTTTTTGGGACATACAAAAAAGGAAATTTGGTCAATCTTTTCGGGACGGAGGAAGTAGTACTTAATTGACTTTTTGACAATAATACGAAGACTTATTTGACAATTTTTCCTATCTTTAATTATCATTTTGAAAGCACGACATTTCAACATGGGCAGTTCACAAGCCCTGGAATATATATTACTTGGACCAAAATCTCAAGTGAATGTTTCACCTTTCTTCAAATCCTGCTAGTATATAAGAGTATTTTTGGGCACAATTCTCCTGAAAGTATATACGAGTTGACATGAAACAATAGAAGAGTACCACGCTAACAGGAAAAAAATCTGTAAAATTTTTGTGTAGTATATGGGCTGAAATGCCAAGAGCACTTTTTGAGCGTTTGGTGATTAATCTACCTTATCTGAAGGCGCCATAAGATACTTTTACCTGATGAATGCTTGTCTCCAACACATTTTGCAACCCCCACACATCACTTCCCTTTTTCTATTGCTCATCTCTATGGACATTATCAGGTACTGAATAAGATCTGAATTTGTTTTTACTTTAAAAATCAAAACAGAACCAACAAGCTATCTTTCCCTGAATGTTACAAACCCCTGATATTTATTCTGGGGTAACATTTTGCTCATAAGAAAGTACACTAGTACTCTTTAAGAACTTCGACCTGAAACTAAGCTGGATAACAGTTGGGTACAGTCATAGCATGAAGAGAATTCTATAGTTTGAATTGTGTTAGGGTCTTCATTCCACATGTTTGGTCTTTCAGTGGCAGCAAGCCGCATACAAAGTTTTACACCTGCAAATTATTATGTCGAGCCATTAGGATGGTGTTGTACACTGTGTCTAAGATTGGAACTTAAATAGAATAAATGTTATCCTACAAATGAAAAGAAAACGAAGCACTTGTTCTAGAAGTCTATATTGACAAAATCATTGTCAATTCAATCAGACATTTAAAAAATCAAATAAAGGGAAGGTCATGTCTGCACATAAAATAAGACTTTTGGGACAGTTTGGTGGGGAACCTTTTCTTTACCTAAATGAGATAGAATGGTTAAATGTCCCGATTTTTCTTGAATGTCAAGATTGAATGATTGGGAGTGTAATCAAGTTAAAATCTTTATTTTTAATAAATTGGAAAAAAAATCTTAAGGATGAAAGGATCACTGTTTCTCCTCTTTATTTCAATCATTTTAGCTAGCAAGAAACCTCTGAACTACTTTTGTCAACAAACTCAACAAAAAAAAGCTTGTGGAGCACTTTGTTTTATGTTTGCAACTTTGCAAACCATCACAACTGAAGGCCAGGGAGTTCGGAGTTGTTTCGTGAGTTGATTTTTTAACAAGTTGACTAGAAAAAGTGAATGTGCTGAATTCGCAGATATGACTTGGTCCAATAACTGATTATGTGATTACCTAAATAAGTATTTCTCTTTTTTCAATCAATAAATTGGATGATATATATAAAAAAGATTATGGGAAACATTGCTTCTTCTTTTTCAGCCAAAAAAGTAACTATGAAACTATAGAAGCAGAAATAAAAGATTATGTAAGCAATATGGATGGTGAAGGGGATAAGCCATTTTATGCATTCACATTCACTACAAAACTTAGATCATGTCTTATCAGTTAGACAGTTACAAAGTGAAACTTACTCTAAGTAGGAAATTTATTTCTTTAATCATGGAAGGTCAAAGGTGAGTACCATTAAAAAAGCCTAACTTTAACAGAATCAGCTTGTGCAAGAGAATTTACCTTGACATGTATTATCTCCGTCAATAATCACATACATGTCAGTGACATCACTGATCACCCGTCTTTTCTGTAAACATATAGACATTGAAAAATGTCGAATCATTTAACACACAATCAGCTTCCAGCACATTAAGAGAATATAAAATCACAGGGAACATACTTTCTCTTTCTTCTTTCAAGAGCAGGGTTCCTTGTATCATTTTTAGCAATAGAAGACAACCCAGGGTGGGTAGCATATTGCGTTGTAGAGAGAGATGAAGCAGTAGCTGGAGAAGGAACGGGACCTACTGTAGCTGTGGGGGGTGCAGTTGATGGTAAAATCATAAGAGGTGGAGCAGAAGTTGCTTGGGCACTTGGAGGTTCAGGAAGTGGCCTTGGTAAGATGTGCTTCAACCTGTTGTTTCGATAGTTCTTCCAAAAATAGAATTGCTGCCTATGTGCCAATTCCTAAATTAAGACACGATAAAGACATCAGTCCGGATAAAACAAAGTAATCCAACAAATTCTGAACTTGTTAACAGGAGGTTATTGAGTGACTTAAAGTTAAAAAGTTTTGGGCCAAGGGAAATTCGAAAGATGGATCCATTGACAAAAAAGGTTGAAGTATGTACATGTAAATACATAAAACGTAAATGTGTCAAACATCATTTTACAAGCATGGTAGGGATCTCGTTCAAGGTCTAGAACGAGAAGGTGAAACAGAGGTAAAGTTAATAGGAATGACTGGATCTATGATTGAATAAGATAAATGGTTTAAGTATACGCAAGTAAATATATTCAAGGTGAGTGCATCAAACTTTATGTTATGGACTTATGGGCATGGTAGTGGTCTTGACGTCTTGTTCAAAGTCTAGAGGTAGAAAATAAAAGAGCAGTAGAGCAGATAGGGACAATCAATTATATGATTTGAGAGAAGAGAGTTTCAGAATGAGCCTGAGGTAGA